CCGTAGTGATATTTAGCAGTGAGATATGTAGCACTTTTTCTAGGATGAGTTCGTGAACCTATTTGTCAGACCTCGTATTCTTGTGTTAATCATCCCCCAAACAAATGTATATGCCTTAAATGAAAGAAAAGCCACTCAAATTGTGGAGCCTACAGGCCTTGTGGTGGGCCTGGGAGTTAGATGCTTTGGGCAGGCATTCGAGCACCTATAGAACACACTGTGAAAGCTCACTCTGCACCACATGGAGCAGCTCTTAGTCACCTTTGCTTCCACCACATTTTTTGTTGTTTTATCAAAGTTAATGAGCACAGTATAGAGTCAAATAGTTTTACAAGTTTTATGAAAAGCATCTGTCTTCTATCTTCTATGTGTCCCTCTCCCATTTCCCACTCACCAGACGCAACAACTTTTACTTCATACCTGTTTCTTTATTTACCTTCATTTTCCCCAACTATTGACATTTGACTATACATCTTTTCAGAATTTTTTGTATGTGTACATATTAAGTATGCATACATTTAAATCAAATCAAGACCACGCTGTTTTTCTATCAGCATTTTTTTCACTTAACATTGTACTCCTTGGCATTTGTAAAAGCCAGTTAATAAACATAACTATCACACAGTCGGTACTCATTGAGAGAAGACTGTACAGGTAAAAAGCAAAATATATAATAACTTGTACGTGTTATCTACGTAAAATATGTATGCATGTGGACAATGACTTGAGGGAAACAATGAAACATGAAAATTGCTTTTGAGGGAAAGAAAACCATTGTTTTCTTTTGAAAACACCATTTAAAATGGCTATGTAACATTCCATCTGAATGTGCCATGATTTGTTTAATCCTAATACCCTATTATTGGACACTTTGGGTTGTTTCTTTTTTTTTCTTCTTTTTTTGGGGGGGAACAGTGTGTTTTTTCCAGGACCTGTCAGCTCCAAGTCAAGTAGTTGTCTCAATCTAGCTGTGGAGGGTGCAGCTCAGCGGCCCATGTAGGGATCAAACCGGCAACCCTGGTGGTGTGAGCACTGCGCTCCAATGAACTGAGCTAACCGGCCACCCCAGCTGTTTCTTGTTTTCCTTGTTTTCTTGCTACTGTAAATACTAATATAATTAATATATCTGTGTGTGTATGTGTAATTGCCATAGGTAAATTGACTCACAGATACATGCTTTCTCTCATAGCTTTAGTTTTTTCTGTTGTTAATAATTGTTTTGATTTTATTTGCTTGCTTTGTGTTCTGTGTAGCCCTCTGGCCTGTTCTGAACTAGATTCATTGTTCACTGCACAGCTGACATCCTGGGGACGTCACCATTACCCTGGGATTCCCTCTCATTCTCCATTTCCTGGCTCCTGTGTCTTTTCTTGGTTCCCTTCCTTGTCTGGGGAACAACCCACTCCCCTGCAGTGGCTTCCTGAGAAAGACAGGGAGCGGTCTGCTGTTTAGAACTGGCATGTCTTAAAAACACCTTCATTCTACCCTAACCTAAATTTGATTAGGTATAGAATTCTAGCATTCAGAATTTTGAAGAGATCATGATACTATCTTCAGCTTCCAATATTGCTGCTGAGAAGACTGCTGCTATTCTGATTCCTGATCTTTTGTTTTGTGGCCTCTTCAGTCTGAGAAGCTTTCAGGATCATTCCTTGGTCTTCGGTGTACTGAAATGTCACAATGATGTGCCTCGGCATAAGTCTATTTGACTCTTGTTCACTAGGTTATTCTGATGGCCCCTTTCGATCCTTCCATTTTAGGGACATTTTGTTGTATTATTTTACTTATTCATTTTGATAATTTCTTCACCTTTATCTTTTCTTTGTTTTTCTGGAAGTTTCATTATTCAGATGTTGGTCCTCCCACAGTTATCCTCTAGTTTTCTTATCTTTTCTATTAAAATAGTTTCTTTTTACTTTGTGCTGTACTTTTCCAGTGTCTGTACTTTATCTTCTAGGCCTTTAATGTATTTTTCATTCCTGCTGTCCTAGTTTTAATTTCTAAGAGCTCTTTTTTGTCTTCTAGTTTTTTAAATAGAATCCCATATTTATGTTTATAGATTCAATATTGCCTCTTATCTCTATGAGGATATTAATGATCTTCTTTGAAATTTTCATCATTCTGCATAGTTTGTTTCTTATAACTTGCTTTCTTTTTGTTTTGAT